CATTGATCACTGAGGAAGGCTTTCTTATTTCTCCTTGCTATTCTTTGGAACTCTGCATTCAAATGGGTATATCTTTCCTTTTCTCCTTTGCCTTTAGCTTCTCTTCTTTTCTCAGCTATTTGTAAGGCCTCCTTAGACAACCATTTTGCCTTTTTGCATTTCTTTTTCTTGGGGATGGTCTTGATCACTGCCTTCTGTACAATGTCATGAACATCCGTCCATAGTTACAGACACTCTATCAGATCTAATCCCTTGAATCTATTTGTCACTTCCACTGTATAATCATAAGGGATTTGATTTAGGTCATACTTGAATGGTCTAGTGGTTTTCCCTACTTTCCTCAATTTAATTCTGAATTTGGCAATAAGGAGTTCATGATCTGAGCCACAGTCAGCTCCTGGTCTTGTTTTTGCTGACTGTATACAGCTTCTCTGTCTTTGGCTGCAAAGAATATAATCAATCTGATTTTGATATTGACCATTTTGTGATGTCCATGTGTAGAATCTTCTCTTGTGTTGTTGGAAGAGGGTGTTTGCTATGACCAGTGCATTCTCTTGGCAGAACTCTATTAGCATTTGCCCTGCTTCATTCTGTACTCCAAGGCCAAATTTGCCTGTTACTTCAGGTATCTCTTAACTTCCTACTTTTGTATTCCAGTCCCCTATAATAAAAAGGACATCTTTTTTGAGGGTTAGTTCCAGGAGGTCTTGTAGGTCTTCATAGAATCGTTCAACTTCAGCTTCTTCAGCATTATTGGTTGGGGCATAGGCTTGGGTTACTGTGATATTGAATGGTTTGCCTTGGAAATGAACAGAGATCATTCTGTCATTTTTGAGACTGCACCCAAGTACTGCATTTCGGACTCTTTTGTTGACTATGACGCCTACACCATTTCTTCTAAGGGATTCTTGTCCACAGTAGTAGACATAATGGTCATCTGAATTAAATTCTCCCATTGCAGTCCATTTTAGTTCACTGATTTCTAAAATTCGATGTTCACTCTTGCCATCTCCTGTTTGACCACTTCCAATTTACCTTGATTCATGGACCTAACATTACAGGTTTCTATGCAATATTGTTCTTTACAGCATCAGACTTTACTTTCATCACTAGTCACATCCACAATTAGGTGTTGTTTTTGCTTTGGCTCCATCTCTCATTCTTTCTGGAGTTATTTCTCCACTCTTCTCCAGTAGCATATTGGGTACCTGCCAACCTGGGGAGTTCATCTTTCAGTGTCCTATCTTTTTTCCTTTTCATACTGTTCAAGGGTTTCTCAAGGCAAGAATACTGAAGTGGTTTGCCATTCCCTTCTCCAGTGGAACACATTTTGTCAGAACTCTCCACCATGACCTGTCTGTCTTGGGTGGCCCTACACGGCATGGGTCATAGTTTCATTGAGTTAAACAAGGCTCTGGTCCATGTGATCAATTTGATTAGTTTTCTGTGATTGTGGTTTTCTTTCTTTGCCCCTATATCTGGAGAAAAACATGATCTGAAAGGATATATGCACCCCAGTGCTCACTACAGCACTGTTTACAATAGCTAAGACATGGAAACAACCTAAACATCTATCAACAGGGAAATGGATAAAGAAGATGGGGGGGCGGGGTGTACACATATATGAGTAAGATATCACATGCCACACAGCATGGCCAAAAAACATAAAAAATAAACTTTTAAAAAAGCAATGATAGTAGATTTGCTGGTCCATGAAAGGTCTAAAAGCCTTGCTTTAAAAGAAATGAACATGTAAAGTAATTATCCTTCAATTTAAAAATAAATTAACTAATTTTTAAAAATAAATAAAAGAAATGGACAAGACACAGTGTCTCATTTCTCCTTCTCATGGATCCATCTTCTCACCACTCTTTCTACTCCACCCCCAAGATTTTGCAAAACCATCTAGGGAAAGACAGAAATACCTGTGCTGTTTTATATTGCCTGCTGTGGTTTTTAGGCTCTATCATTCTTCTGGCATAAAAACAGAAAATAAAGAAAATGAAAGGAGGATGAGCAGGGAAAGAAGGAAAAAATTTCCTAAAGGTTTCAAAATAGATTTTGGAAACTCCCTGAAGAGACAGCATACAGAAAGAAAAGGCTGGAGATACAGAAGCCAACAGTAATGCCACAAACTGAGAGGTCTGCCTGAGAGCTGGGCAGCTCCCCACCTGGGCTCACCGGAGTCTCTCCAGGCTGGAGGAGCACAGAAGGTCCACAGGAAGCAATCCACTCAGCCCCCGAGTCCCAGCTGGAAGGTGAGGGGAGACAGGGTGTGGGACGAGAAGACGCTCCGCCGCTGGGGCCCAGGTGAGGTAAGGTCCAAGAGCTGCTCCCTCAAGGCAACAGAGAGACAGCATGACAGGAGGGAAGGCAGCGCGGTGTGTTGGCCAGAGTCCTGAGACAGCCTCTTGAACCTCCCAAAGCCTCCAAATGGCATGAGGGAGCAGCAGAAAGTCTCCCCCGCCCCTCAGAGGGCCACAGAAGAGGTAGAGAGAGAACCAAAGTGCATGAGGGAACCTGGAGGTCCCAAGTCGGGTGTGTGAACTGATGAGCAGATACAAACAGAAAACAAATATTAGCAGCAGATGCCACCTGGGGGAGATGAAGATCCTCAATCAGAAGACCTCCTGCTCCTCCAGGTTCCTCACACACACACACAAATGGCACCTGGTGTACAAAGAAGGGAAATTCTGAGTTCACTGAGGAAACCTCTTTGACTAGATTAAGCACAGATACCAGGGAAAATGAGGCTCACGAGAAAGGCAGAGGTGTGTTATAAATTATGCTTTATGTTGCTGAGGCCTGAATTTGTGGACTGTGCAAAGTTAACCCCCCACACTAGTTTACAGGATTGTTTTAATATGACAAGATGAGACCAATGATGGTGAAGGTCCCATATACACGTCACCAACCATCAGATGCTTGTTGTCATTACTACAGTTCAGGATTCATTGCCCAGTCACTTTCAGCATCACCATTTACTAAACAGAAGCAAGGCAGTGCGGCCAAGCTTATTAAGCTTATTTTTACAGCAAGCAAGAATATACCCATGTATCACCTCAGAATTAACATGTTTCTTTTTCCCACATGTAAGTAACATGATCAGTACTCATGATTCAGGCATCCCACCTATAACACAAGACATTATCTCTAAGCTGGTAAGACACATTGATTCAAGATTTCCTTTATACAAAAGGATATAGGATTCAACAAGCCATTTTTTAATAGTAACAGTCCAGACCAGTTTTGCTGCTTGCTTGTCAAATCCCATTTGATTGCACTGGGTTAAAATAAATTCAATCGACTACCTGTCTTCAAGACCAGCCAGGCATCGACTGTTTTTCCTTTAAAGTTATACCATCAGAAGCAAGACAGTAATTCTCGATAATGTGTTTGTCACACTAAAGATTGCAACTACCTATCTATGGTGTGCTGAGTATTCTGCACAATTACTTAATTTAAACTTGACAACTATCCCTGTTTTACAGATTAGCAAACAGAGTCTCAGAAAGGCTAAGTTACAATAAAGGCACAGAGTAAATGGCAATGCCTATATTCCACTCTACCACAACACCTTGCTAATGAAAATAGCTAAGCTTATCTGAAGCTTATACTTTAAAATACCCTAGTCAAACTCCAGGTCTAGAATAACAAGTCATTCTACCACTCCTCCCACTCTCATCTCCTACCCACTCCACCACACACCTTCCCTCTGACACACACTCACATCCATTCCCTACACCCACCTGCCTTCTTCCAAGCCTTCACAGAGCTGTTCCCTCTGCTTAGACTGTCCTACCTTTCTTCCCCATTTAAGAGAACCCCAACCCATCCTCCCTAATAGGACAGTGACTTCGAAAGCTTTGTCCCTCTCCCAAGGAGGACTAGTTGCTTCCACTCCAGCTTGTGTGATAAGTTTATCTTTCCATCAGAGCGCACATCTACCACTTGAGATTGGCATTTGCCTGCATGTACCTCCTTGACCACTACTAGAGCATGAACTCCTCAAAATCAGGGTCTGGAACCTACCTCTGCATATCTATTCATATAAGTACTTAGGGAGCGCACAGTGGGAGTTCAAAAGTGCTTGTTGAATTCATGAATGAATTTTCTTTTAAATCGAGGTCGATATTTCATATGTCCTAGATTGTGAATGAATCATATTACGTAAACACTGTGAAGTAACTGGCTCTTAAATGATTTTAAGAATGACCACGAAGAAAGGCTTCACTCACCCAAAGCCAGTTTTTCCTGGGACCTCGCCCGGTTTCATCAGTTTCAGCCCAGGCAAGAAATGGCCCCGCCTCCCTGCCTGCCAATCAACCGGCCCTCGCGCCTGCGCAGACATCGCCCTCTCCCGAAGCCCCGCCCCAGTCGCCGCCCCGAGACTGTCGCGGGCGGTTAGATACGGCGGGAGCTTTTCCTTCATTAGCTCGCCTACTATGACGATCACCTACAGCTGCATTGCAAATGGCCGAGCGGTCCTAGCGGAGCTGGCCCTAACCGGCGGCTCTTATCAGGTACCCCTCGGTCGGCACCTCCGCCTTCGGCCTTCGCAGGTTCCACCTTTCGAGGGTGGCGCCCACGGGACCCGCCCTGCAGGCCGCAGGCCGCGGCCCTGAAGGGCGGTCCCGAGCGGACTGAGGGGCGTGAGGCCCGCCCCCGTGAACGGCCGCACCGGCGAGCTGTGAATCCCCGGCGGGAGCCGCTCGCCCTCCCGGGCAGCCGAGCCGCAAGTGCGCCGCCCAGGGGTTAGTGTTGGTGCTGCAAGTGACGTACTTGAGGGTAACTTGGCTGTCACGTTCAATTCCGGAGACCCCTTAAAGATTTTCTCTCCCCCCCGCGGAGAAATGGCCTCCAGTTCAACACACGTTTATTGAAAATGTTTTAGCTGCAAAATCCCAGAGTCATGGTGTAGGGGATACAGCGATGAAAACGGCGCCTGGAGCTGTCCTTTTATACCCAAGGGCTGCATTCAGTCCTGCAGTGTGTAAAAAGTATGTCAATGGACGCAGATCGAGATTGCAACGGTAGCACTCAGGATGGGTGACTGCTTGCAAAGAGGAGATGATGGTGGGGTGCTTGGCTTAAAAGCATTACAAGAGTTCCCCAGCCTGGAACAGCAGAGGGCAGCATGGTGGGCGTGGGGAAACCTCAAGAGCCTCAGTGTGGCTTGAGTGCAGGGTCACAGTATATGAGGGGCTAACGACGAGGTCAGAAAAGTGAACAGAGACTAGTTATTGAAAGGTCCTAGATTCAGTTGGTTCTCTTATCCTAGAGATACCAGGGAGCAGTTCAAGATTTATAAATAGAGAAATGACAAAATCTGATCCATTTTCTGGAAAACTTGGTATGGTTACAACATAGAAGGTGGTTTAGAGGAAAGAGAGTCAGTTAGGATGGTGTTTTTATAGTTGATCTAGACGATCAAAGAGCCTGAGCTAAGGCAAAGACAGTGCAAAAGGAAAGGAATGGACAAATACTAAACAGACTTTGCAAACTAGTCCTCGGGAGTTAATGACCGGTAGGATATGTAGGATCGGAGAACCTACTGGTAGGATATGTAGGATCAGCAACCCACTCCAGTACTCTTGCCTGGAAGATCCCATGGACGGAGAGGCCTAGTAGGTTGCAGTCCATGGGGTCGCACAGAGTAGGACACGACTGAAGCGACTTCACTTTCACTTTTCACTTTCATGTACTGGAGAAGGAAATGGCCACCCACTCCAGTGTTCTTGCCTGGAGAATCCCAGGGACAGGGGAGCCTGGTGGGCTGCCATCTATGGGGTCGCACAGAGTCAGACACGACTGAAGCAACGCAGCAGCAGCAGCAGCAGCAGGATGTGTAGAATAGAGAACAGTGCCATGCTTAGGATGAATCTCAAGGTTTGTTTGTTTGTTTAATATTTGTTTATTTATTTATTTGGCTATGCTGAGTCTTAGCTGAGGCATGTGGGATCTAGTTCCCTGACCAGGAATGGAACCTGGGCCCGCTGCATTGGGCGCTGGAAGTTTTAGCCACTAAGACCATCAGGGAAGTCTTCAGGGTTTTTGTTTTTAGTTGTTTCCTTTTTTTTTTTTTCAATCTTTTTACCCACAGCTTTATTGAGATATAATTGATATACAACACTTTGTAAGTTTAAGGTGTATAGTTTGTCCATTTTTTTTCTTAAGTGGTGTGAAACAAGATGGCAGCTACAGATGGAGAAATAGGATTGTGGGAGAAGGAGTTAGAAGAGGGACTGCAAGGGAGGAGAGAACAAGTTGGGACAAGTAGAATTCTGTGGCCAGTTAGAAAGAGCCCATCTGTTTGTGTATTTATTCCTCCATCTTATTCCCAAAAGATTTAAGTTGTAAACATGTCCAACAGGTCAGAGCTAACAGTTAAAGATGGTAGAAGTGGGTAAGACTGCCCAAGAAAAGGAAAGAGAGTGAGAAGAGAAGAGCATCAGAAGGCATGACACTATTAAGAACAGAATAGAGGGACTTCCCTTGTGGTTCAGTGGCTAAGACTCCATATTCCCAATGCAGGGGGCCTGAATTCAAGCCCTGATCAGGGAACTAGATCCTGCATGTCACAACTAAGACCCAGCATGGGCAAATAAATAATTCAATAAATATAAACGTAATAAAAAATTTTTGAATAGAGAGGTGGGTCACCAAACAGGAGCAGTGGTATTCTGAAAGCCAAGAGAAAAAAGTACAAGAATGTCTTGTGCCCCAAAGAAGTTGAACAAGAGTCAACTTGGACAGTTAGGAGATGATAAGTGATCTTGCTGATAGTGGTAGAGGTGGAGGAAGAAGACATTGCTTTAAGCCAAGTGGGGGGAAAAGTGGAAACAGTGACAGGTTTTATTTTCTTGGGCTCCAAAATCACTGCAGATGGTAACTGCAGCTGTGAAATTAAAAAATGTTTGCCTCTTGGAAGAAAAGTTATGACAGCGTATTAGAAAGCAGAGACATCAGTTTGCTGACATAAAGTCAAAGCTATGGTTTTTCCAGGAGTCATGTACAGATGTGAGAGTTGGACCGTAAAGAAAGCTGAGGGCTGAAGAATTGATGCTTTCTAATTGTGGCGCTGGAGAAGACTCTCGAGAGTCCCTTGGACTGCAAGGAGATCAAACCAGTCAATCCTAAAGGAAATCAGTCCTGAATATTCATTGGAAGGACTGATGCTGAAGCTGAAACTCCAATACTTTGGGCATCTGATGTGAAGAGCAAACTCATTGGAAAAGACCTTGATGCTGAGAATGATTGAGGGTAGAAGGAGAAGACTGAGGATGCGATGATTGGATGGTATCACCGACTCAATGGACATGAGTTTGAGCAAACTCCGGGAGATAGTGAAGGACAGGGAAGCCTGGCGTGCTGCGCTCCATGGGGTTGCAAAGAGTCAGACACAACTTAACAACTGAACAACAACAAGTGAATGGGAGATGGAAGCAGGAAGAATGAAGTTGGGCTATTCTTTCAAAAATTTAGATAAGGAATGAGAGAGGGCAACAGCTAGAAGAAGCATGATCCAGGAAAGGCCTCATTTGTTAGTACAGGGAGAACTTTCACATGTTTGTAGGCTAATGGAGAGAAGAGGTGGAAAATTTTGTGGAGAGGGCAGTTTTTGAGAGAGCAAGACCTGAAGGAGCATGAAGGGTTGGAATCCAATGTGGCCGTAGAGAAGTGAGCCTTGAATTAGAGGAATGTAGTCTTTCTCTTGGGGAAAGTAGGGGTTTGGATGTAGACATGGAACTTAGTCTCCTTCTGAGGCTCGCCTCTGTGCCAGTCCCTTAAATGCTGTGTTCCTCAGGGTTCTGACTTCAGTCCTCTTTTTAACTTGACACATTCGTTCACACCCTTGGATTACTTTTGCTTTGATCACTGCCAAATCCACTTCCAAAGTATTCATCTCTCTCCACCATTAGATTTGTCTAATAGAGGTTCAAGCATATTGTGTCCAGCACTAAATTCATTCTTTCCTAGCAGATTCCTCCTCCTATATTTCTAGTCTTGCTGGGCAGCTCTGCCGAACCATTCAAGCTGGAAACAGAGTCACTTTCCATTTTTCCCTCTTCTATACCTTCACATCTGTTCTTTGCCACCAAGTTCTATCATTTCTGTCTTGTGAGTGTATCTCGAATCCACCTCTTTGTGTCAGAACCACATCTCATCATGGCCCTCATTACTTCTCATCAGGGTCATTGAAAATGCCCCCTAACTCATCTCCCAGACTTCAGCCTTGTTCCTCTCAAAACCAGCCTCCACATTACTACTCAGGAGATTGTTCCTAAAAGCAAATATGATCATGTCACTCCCTTGCTTCAAATCATTGGGTGGCAACTGATTACTTTCATCTTAAAGTTCATAGTCCTCAGACTCGCATTCACGGCCCTCCTAGTAAGGCTTTTCCATGACTGTCTCCTCTTCCCCACCCCCCGGGTGCTCCACCCACCCTGAACTTCACACCGCTCTCCAGTCTCACCAAGGTCTCTGTTCGCATCTCCTGTCCCCACTCCCTTGAACACACTTATCTCCATTTTTTAGCAGTATCACCTCTTCTGCATTCCTCCTTGAAGCTTCCTCAATGCCCAGGCTAGTTTACATCCCTTTAACAAACTACTCGCCAGGCTGAACTGGAATCTTCTTTTACTTATCGGTCTCTGCCATTGTACTTCTTCAGGACAGGGACTGTTTCCATCTCTGCCCTTATAGTGTATGATGCCTAGACATAGTAGATTCTCAATAACCACTTGATTAGTTATGAAGAGAGAGGGTCAGAAGGTTGAAGGAGTTTATAAGCCCAATGGACTCTCTGTATGAAGCACGCAGGGAGGTAAGAAAGTGGAAGGTGGTGGAGGACAGGATTAAAGGTCTGAAATGACTACTGTGTGGAAGGCTGACCAGAGAAAAGAAGGCACTTTAAGGGACAGTTCTGTCCTATATTCCTTCAGTGCTAAATATTGATGTCACAAATGTTTTATACTCATTAGAAAATACTAATACAAAAAAAAAAAAAAAAGAAAATACTAATACCAACCAAAGCTTAATCATGAAATCAAATAGAGCTGGACAGGACTGTAGAGATCATCTTTTTGTTTTAATTTTTAATGGAGTACAGTTGCTTTATAATATTATGTTAGTTTCTTTTTTTAACTTTTCCTTTGTACTGGGGGACTGCCGACTAGCAAACAATATTGTGACAGTTACTGGTGAGCAACAAAAGGACCCAGCCGTGTATACCACATGTATCCATTTTCCCCCAACGTCCCCTCCCATCCTGGCCACCACTCAACAATAATGTTGTGTTATTAATAGCTTCTTGGCAAAGGAAATGGCAACCTACTCCAGTATTCTTGAATGGAGAATTCCATGGAGAGAGGAGCCTGGTGGGCTGCAGTCTGTGGGATGGCAAAGAGTCGGACATGACTGAGTGCATAACACATTAATAGCTTCTACTGTACAGCAAAGTGAATTAGCTATGGTGGCTCAGAGGTTAAAGCATCTGCCTGTAATGCGGGAGACCCGGGTTCAATCCCTGGGTTGGGAAGATTCCCTGGAGAAGGAAATGGCAACCCACTCCAGTGTTCTTGCCTGGAGAATCCCATGGACGGAGGAGCCTGGTGGGCTACAGTCCATGGGGTCACAAAGAGTCGGACACGACTGAGCAGCTTCACTTTCACTTTCGTACGAGTGCGTATGTGCTAAGTTGCTTCAGTTGTGTCTGATTCTGTGCGAACCTGTAGACTGTAGCTCGCCAGGCTCTGCTGTCCATGGGGATTCTCCAGGCAGGAATATTTGCCATGCCCTCCTCCAGGGGATCTTCCCAACCCAGAGATCAAACCCAGGTCTCCCGCATTGCAGGCAGATTCTTTACCCTCTCAGTCACCAATGAAGCCCAAGAATACTGGAGCTTTGCAACCCCATGGACCGTAGCCTGCCAGGCTCCTCTGTCCATGGAATTTTTTCATGCAAGAACATTAGCATAGGTTGCCATTTCTCTCTCCAGGGAATCTTCCTGACGCAGGGATCAAACCCGTGTCTCTTGCGTCTCCTGTATTGGCCGGTGGATTCTTTACTGCTGTGCCACCTTGGAAGCCCATTTTATACATAGTAATGTATATATGTCAATCCCAATCTCCCCATTCACCCCACCACCATCCTTTCCCCACTAGGTGTCCATGCGTTTGCTCTCTATGTTTGTGTCTCTGTTTCTTCTTGTAGAGCTCATCTTACCCAATCCCTTCATTCTTCACACAAGGAAACAGACCCAGACAAGTCATTTTCTTAAGTTGTGAGCACTTCAATCCTAGAAACAGCACTACAGCCTCATGTGTCAGTTATTTTACTGCCTCATGTTGCCACTTGCTTTTTTTCACATTTTTCTGATTTCATAGTTTATGTACTCTAAAAGAGACACTTTGGGAAAGCTAGGGGAATATATTCCAGTGATGAGAACAGAGTAACTGAAAGATTATGTATTCTCTTAATTCCCTTGATGTTTCTTAGGAAATCATTTTCTAGAGAATACGATTGGATTTTTCAGGTAATACCAAGAATTTCAAGTTTTACTGTCTCCCAAATCATTAGTAATAAGCTCTTCTCTCCCAAAAAGTTTTTATTTCAAGCATCATTTTCTGCAAATGGAAAAGTTAATCAGGAGCATGCCTCTTCAAGTCTTCTAAGGTCATTTTCGGGTTCCTTTCGTGCTTCTAAAGTAAATTAATGGGATTCCATATAATTAGATATAGTTAAGGTATTCTGGATAGTCATGTGTGTGCTTGCTTGCTAAGTCTCTTCAGTTATGTCTGACTCTTTGCAACCCCATGGAGTGTAGCCCGCCAGCCTCCTCTCTTCATGGGATTCTCCAGGCAAGAATACTGAAGTGGGTTGCCATGCCCCACTCCCTGAATAATCATAATACCTTGCAAATTTTCCCCAAAGAATGAGACTTATAATAAACAGAAGAAATCTTAGCAATTATTTTTTATACAAATACATCAGTGAATAATAATGAATAAAATTTTTATCTTAATCAAAAAAAAGAAGACCACATAGTTTATCAGAGACTAAAAGCTGAATTCTTTTAATCGATTAATATTTTACATATAGCTTCACAGAGGCCACCGAAAAGATGTTTGATTAGATAGTCCAATCCCCAGTCATATTCAGTTCAGTCACTAAGTCGTGTCTGACTCTTTGTGACTCCATGGAGTGCAGCACGCAAGGCCTCCCTGTCCATCACCAACTCACTGAGTTTACTCAAACTCATGTCCATTGAATCAGTGATGCCATACAACCATCTCATCCTCTGTCATCCCCTTCTCCTCCCATCTTCAATCTTTCCCAGCATTAGGGTCTTTTCCAAGGAGTCAGTTTTTCACATCAGGTGGCCAAAGGATTGCAGTTTCAGCTTCAGCATCAGTCCTTCCAGTGAATATTCAGGACTGATTTGCTTGAGGATGGACTGGTTGGCTCTCCTTGGAGTTCAAGGGACTCTCAAGGGTCTTCTCCAACATCACAGTTCAAAAGTGTCAATTCTTTGGCACTCAGCTTTCTTTATAGTCCAACTCTCACATCTATACATGACTACTGGAAAAACCATAGCCTTGACTAGATGGACCTTTGATGGCAAAGTAATGTCTCTGCTTTTTAATATGCTGTCTAGGTTGGTCATAGCTTTTCTTCCAAGGAGCAAGCATCTTTTAATTTCATGGCCTCAGTCACCATCTGCAGTGATTTTTGGAGCCCAAAAAAATAGTCTGTCACTGTTTCCCCATCTATTTGCCATGAATTGATGGGACCAGATGCCATGATCTTAGTTTTCTGAATGTTGAGCTTTAAGCCAACTTTTTCACTGTCTTCTTTCACTTTCATCAACAGGCTCTTTCTGCCATGAGGGTGGTGTCATCTGCATATCTGAGGTTATTGATATTTCTCCCAGCAATCTTGATTCCAGCTGTGCTTCATCTAGCACAGCATTCCTCATGATATATTCATGATATATATCACGATATACTCATGATATAAATAAGCAGGGTGACAATATACAGCCTTGATATACTCCTTTCCCTATTTGGAACCGGAACATTTTGGAAATTTTTTGTTTTCTTTAATAGTGAATCTANTGCAGCACTTTCACAGCATCATCTTTTAGGATTTGAAATAGCTCAACTGGAATTCCATTACCTCCACAAGCTTTGTTCATAGTGATGCTTCTTAAGGCCCACTTGACTTTGCATTCCAGGAATTCTGGTTCTAGGTGAGTGATTACACCATCGTGGTTATCTGGGTCAAGAAGATATTTTTTGTGTAGTTCTTCTGTGTATTTTTGCCACCTCTTCTTAACACTGTCTGTTTCTGTTAGGTCCATATAGTTTCTGTCCTTTATTGTGCCCATGTTGCATGAAATATTCCCTTAGTATCTCTAATTTTCTTGAAAAGATCTCTAATCTTTCCCATTTTATTATTTTCTTCTGTTTCTTTGTATCAACCACTGAGGAAAGCTTTCTTATCTCTCCTTGCTATTCTTTGGAACTCTGCATTCAATTGGGTATCTCTTTCCTTTTCTCCTTTGCCTTTCACTTCTTTTCACAGCTATTTGTAAGGCCTCCTTAGACAACCATTTTGCCTTTTTGCATTTCTTTTTCTTGGGGATGGTCTTGATCACTACCTTCTGTACAATGTCATGAACCTCCGTCCATAGTTCATCAGGCACTCTGTCTATCAAATCTAATCCCTTGAATCTATTTGTCACTTTCACTGTATAATCATAAGGGGTTTGGTTTAGGTCATACTTGAATAGTCTAGTGGTTTTCCCTACTTTCTTCAATTTAAGTCTGAATTTGGCAATAAGGAGTTCGTGATCTGAGCCACAGTCAGCTCCTGATCTTGTTTTTGCTGACTGTATAGAGCTTCTCCATCATAGGCTGCAAAGAATATAATCAATTTGATTTCAGTATTGATCATTTTGTGATGTCCATGTGTAGAATCTTCTCTTGTGTTGTTGGAAGAAGGTGTTTGCTATGACCAGTGCATTCTCTTGGCAGAACTCTATTAGCCTTTGCCGTGCTTCATTCTGTACTCCAAGGCCAAATTTGCCTGTTACTCCAGGTATCTCTTGACTTCCTACTTTTGCATTTCAGTTGCCTATAATGAAAAAGACAAAAAAAAAAAAAAGAAAAGGACATATTTTGGGGTTGCTAGTTCCAGGAGGTCTTGTAGGGCTTCATAGAATCGTTCAACTTCAGCTTCTTCAGCATTATTGGTTGGGGCATAGGCTTGGGTTACTGTTATATTGAATAGTTTGCCTTGGAAATGAACACAGATCATTCTGTCATTTTTGAGACTGCACCCAAGTACTGCATTTCAGACTCTCTTGTTGACTATATTAATAATAACCAGTCATATTAATAATGTGTTATAAAAATGACTAATTAGTGCAACTTATATCTGCACACTTATATGTATAAAAACAAAGTATATATATATTTAGTAGTAGTAATGTCAGTTGCTCAGTCATGTCCAACTCTTTGGGACCCCATGGACTGTAGCCCACCAGGCTCCTCTGTCTATGGAATTCTCCAGGCAAGAGTACTGGAGTGGGTTGTCATTCCTTTTTCCAGGGGATCTTCCCAAACCAGGGATGTAATTTTAATATATTCCTTCAGATTCATATGAATATTTCATGATAACTTGTCTCTTACCATGCATTATGAATAACTACCCATTAGTTCTCCTAGTAAACAGTTGTTCCTTAATAAAAAGAACATTCGTAAATTAACGAGATGAATAATGAATGGCACTACAATCTTCTATGTAAATGCTAACAATTTTTTTTTTTTAGGAAGCCGCAGCAGTGGTGCTTAAGCTAGTACTTCTTAGAGCTGAACCAAAGATGATGATTCAAATGGGAAAGTAAGTTATATTCTAATAAATTCTACTTTTTAATCATTACTAGCTGATATTTGGGCTGGGTTTCCCTGGTGGCTCAGTGGTAAAGAATCCACCTGCCAATACAGGAGATGCAGGTTCAATCCCTGGGTCAAGAAGATCCCCCCTGGAGAAGGAAATGGCAACCCACTCCAATATTCTTGCCTGGGAAATCCCATGGACAGAGGAGCCTGATGGCCCACAGTCCATGGGGTTCAACTCTATTGAACTAGCGACTAAACAACAACAACAACCACAAGCTGGTAATTATAAGGATAATGACATGGGGGGAAATATTTATGGCATGGACTCCTGATTGAATCCTCAGAAATGAGGGTATAAAATTATGAATGGTAAGGATGACATTAAATTCAAGAAAGTGGTTACCTCTACAAAGAGAGGGGAGAAGAAATTGAGGAATGGTATATGGGGACATTAATTGTATCTATAACATTTTGACTGGACAGTAGGGCTACAAATGTTCTTCTTATTCTCTGTACCTTTTTTGGTATACCAAAATATTTCATTAATAAAAAGGGCAATTTCCACTTGAAAATATCTTCAATAAGATCATTCTACTTTACTTGAGATACTACATGATGTGGCTTAAGCCATACTGTAATTTCCCAAGTAAATATCTTGCTAGTAAAAGAACAAGTGGGGAATAGTGAAAGTGAAAGTCACTCAGTCTTGTCCGACTCTTTGTGACCCCGTGGACTGTAGCCTGCCAGGCTCCTCTGTCCATGGAATTCTCCAGGCCAGAATACTGGAGTGGGTAGCCATTCTCTTCTCTAGGAGATCTTCCCAACCCAGGAATCAAAACCAGGTCTCCCACACTGCAGGTGGAAGGCTCTTTACAATCTGAGCCACCAAGGAAACCCAATTTCTTTCTTTTTTTTTTTTTTTAGACTCATCATTGTTTATTAAAGAGGGGATTTGTTTTAGCTTACACTTAATGTAAAGACACATTAAATGAATGCACAGTTTTATGAAGTTTCTCAAAGGACTCACTCCCACCAACCAGTTGCAACTACCACCTAAGCCAAAGAATAGATCTCTTTGGCTTACTATCCCAGCCAACTACCCCAGAAACTCCCCGCCATGATACCCCATTCACAACTTCCTCCCTCTCCCTCAAATCAACAACCATTCCAACTTCTGCAGCAGTCACTTATCCTATTTCTTCATCACCTCAGCACCTGAATATGCATCTTCAGGCAAAAGAGCCCAGTCCCACCCATTTTTTAGTTTGGTGTCTTTTAAGTCTCTTTAATCCACATATTGCCCTTACATCCCTTTCTTTTCCTTATAATTTATTGTTGAAGAACCTACAGAGTTTCCCATAGTCTGGTTTTGCTGATTGCATATTCAAAATGAAGTTCATCCTGATCAAAGCAGTTGGATCCAGTGACTTGATCCCTTTGGCAAGACTGTAGGTTTTTCATCAGTTTTTGATCTGATGGTGCATAATTCTGCCTTTTGGCATACTAGCACCCATTGATATTCATGGCCTACACCCTAGAGCCATTAATTTATTGGGGGTTGCAAAATCGTGATATTCTAGTTTTGTTTTACTTACTAGCTGGAATGATTTGAAAAAGGGATTCTCTCCTCTATTTGCTTACCTATATCGAACATTTAATTTGAATCTTTTGAGGACCTCTTCCCTGGTCTCCAGATTTGTATACCCAACCATTCATTCCATATCTACAGAGGATGTCTAATGGGCATCTCCAACTTAGGCTCAAAGTCAAGCCTCCTCTTGGAGTTGTCCCCACATCACCTCTCCAGTTCCTCAGGTCTAAAACCTCTGTGATCCTTGATTTTTATCTCTTTTACTTCCAAATCTAACCCATAAGCAACTCCTATTGTCTTTCCCTTCCAAATATATCCACAATCTGACTGCCTCCACCACCATCTCTTGCTTGGGTTACTTGACATCAAGTTAGATTCTTTTTCTTTTTTTCTTTTTGTTTTTTATTTTTAAGGGTTGCACTCTTAAAGTTTGATTTAATGACATTTTATCATTATGTAAAACGTTTGTATGGCTCCAAAGTCAAATCTACAAACGAGTTTCCTTCAAGAAGTCTCATTTTTGTTCCTTTCTTCATACTACTCTCTCTCCCTCTATGTAGGTAACTATTTTGACTAAGTTTTTAGCTTATCATTTTTTTTTTCTTTTCTATAAGAGGTGCATCCATATATTTGTATTTCCTTTACGGTAGCACACAAGAATGACAGATAAATGGTAGTACATCATAAGCACTTTTCTCCACCTTGCATTTGTCAGTTAACAGTATATCCTAGACATCATGTATTCAAGTTTTTTAATATTTAAGGACATTTCTGAATGCTATTCACTAAGCATACTAAACATAAATTTAAAATCACATCCAATATCAATTTACTTCAAATCACACATGTAACTTTTGAAGAGATGATAGAATTAGAAACTCTTTTCCTATAAAGACTCTCCCCAATTTAAAAATAAAAATAAATATCTTTTAAGTCACTAAGTCGTGTCTGACTCTTTGTGACCCCATGGACTACCAGGCTTCTCTGTGTCCATGGCATTCTCCAGACAAGAATACTGGAGTGAGTTGCCATTTCCTTCTGCAGGGGATTTTCCTGATCCAGGGATTGAACCCATATCTCCTGCTTGGCAGGCGGATTCTTTACCACTGAGCCACCTGGGAAGCCCTAGTGGATGTTATGCATGTCAACTAATACTATCATTAAAAATATTTGTAGTATATTGTATTCATGATATGATATGAAGGATTTGTTTTGAAGGGGTGCATATTTTAAATTTTCTACCTCTGGGATTATCTTTTCTACATGTTTTGAGATTCCTCATTCTCATATATATTCAGTTTAGCATTTGAACATGTCTGTTGCCTATTAACCATTTGGATATAGGGTGTTCAAAAATGACTAGATTAAAGCCTAGGCACCAAGAATGCTTGCTATATCCCTACATTTTCTGGATTGCTGGGCAGTAAAGGTGGCGACACTCTCCAAAAATCTTATATCCTCCTAAAATGTCTGAGAAGGTACAAAATGTACCTAGAAAGCTAAGTGGTCTGAAAAAGGTACACTTTGGATTACTATAGGGAAGTTTAATTCCCCCGCCCCCCCAAACTCACATTTTCCAGAATATTTAATCTTTGCAGTTTATGACTTTTAAATTCTAATCTGTCATGATAGAAAGCCAAGAACTGCCAAAATTAAGCATGTCTACCTAAAAATATAAGAATAGTAAAAATCAGTGAACAAATAGAATTTTCTGTTTGATCAGAATCTAGATGTAACCTTGGAATGTGAGTGACTTCCATCAAAAGCATGTCAAATATACATATATATGATTAGATTATTAGACTTTTCTCTCTTGTAATTTATTTTTCTTGATGCAATGTTAAATACATATTCACATTTTAGAGAGCTTTTATCTAACATAATTGAATTCTTCAAATGTATGATTTTCTAATTATTCTGATTATGAAAAGTTACCTACATAGTTTTTATACTATTAATGAAAGCTTGAAAACAAAATTCAATTCTCTGTATCAGTATTTAATTTCTTTAATATTATATGTAAATGAATGTATTCTTTTCAAAGCTTTGTCTACCATACTCTCCTTATTGATGGAATCACTTACCTTTGTGCCTCAGACAATGCCTTAGATATTTTAACACCATCTGCATTTCTTAAAAATGTAAGTAATTTCTTATACTACTTTGACTTTTTCAATTACTGAAATTATGAGGTCTGATTTATAGTTTATTAGTAGTAATGTCCCTAGCCAAGAGCAGATCAGCCATCTGTCCATATAGCAGAGCCATTAATGACCTTCAGAGATTTCTCACCCTCACCCTTCACCTATCTCCTGCCTCCACACTTCCCCCCACTCTAAAGCAAGATCTGCAAAGACAATCAACCCAGATCTATCAGAATCTCTCTTTATGTTTCTTTTGTCCTTTCAAAGTAAAAAAATTAAACTTTAGTATCAATAATATTTAGTATGCTTTCTCAGTAGCATATGTATTTAATTTTCAAACACATGTAACACACTTCTGGCAGAAAATGTGAATCAATTACAAGAATTAAAAAAATTTTTTTAATCAAGACATACTACCTTTTTTGTTGTTTTAGTCACTAAGTCGTATCTGACTCTTTTTCAACCCCATCTGCTGTAACCCACCAGGCTCCTCTTGTCCATGGAATTCTCCAGGGAGGAATACTGGAGTGGGTTGCCATTTCCTTCTCCAGGGGATCTTCCCGACTCAGGAATCAAACTTGAATCTCCTGAAACTGCAGATAGATTCTTTTATCACTGAGCCCTACACTACCTTTAGGGAAGGTTTTATGTAAAAGTTACCAACAAATATAAAATATAAATAGAGTAATTATGTGTATGTACTTATGTAGATACATGAGATTTTATAAATTTCTTAAAAGGTAATTAACATTCTCTAATAGCTATCATCTGTTACTGATGATTACCCAGCATTTAATAACTGCAGTCCATGGGGTTGAGAAGAGTCAGACATGACTGAGAAACTAAGCAACAACAACAAAAATAAGATTGTGAAAGGCAGTCTCAGAGACAAACGAGGGATAAGCCCTTATTCTAGTAATTGTATGATCCAGGTAGTATGCTTGTTTCTTATTTTAAAAAGTAGATAATGCTAATCTTCAATTTTATTCACAAATATATAATTTAGGATAAATATTTTAACAAAGACATACTAATGGAAAAATCAGTCAAGTATACTATAATTATTAATAGATATTCTCCAGTCATATTCATGAATCATGCATAGATTTTATTTGCTTAGTTTACCAACTTGTTTTAACACAACTCAAATCATAACCACATAGAATCAAGGAGTCGAAGGCCTAATATTGTAATTCACTCTACCTTTATGCCTAAACTGTTAGCATCTACATGATAAACTCTGTTAGCAGTTTAACAGACTAGGATTTTTTTCCCCTCTCTGCCATTATGGAAAAACATCCCAACTTTACCGACTTCTCAAAACTAGGTAACACAAAATTGCTCAACTGAATGATTTTTACCACTGCTTCTGGGGTGATACAACATTAAGTACAAACAGCTGTCAGAATTCCTTCTTGAAGCTTTGAAATGTCATTTAACAACCCTATAGGGTTAACATTTGGGTGGGTTTGTTTTGTTGTCATTGAATGGATTTTGAAAGTAAGGCAGGAGGGGGAAATGAAAAGCTTATTTAGAGAATATCATAGACCCCTATCTTTCCTTGTCTGCCAGAGGTAACATCTGTGGGTTCCCTCAAGTCCCGAGAAATATCAACACCAAAGAATCAGAGTACACCTGCAGTCTCATGATATGAGATATGAGCAGTTTTCATTATACTGCATCTTTAAAATATAAAAATACCCTGCCACCAAAAATCTAGAACTGTTCTGTCTTCTCTTATTGCAAGTTTCTACCAGATGTGGCTTCAAATTAACACTTGTTTTGTAATTTTCTGGTTGAAATTATCTATACAGTTTAAATATTTCCATTGATTTCTCCAGGTTAGTGAGACTTTTCTGAAAAATCCTTTGATGTCACAAGAACATTTTTCTCCTTCAAATGCAGTTGCTGCAGATTTTCAACAAGTATTAGGAGAGTATATGGTATGTAGCCTCCAACTGTATTCCTAAACATTGTCAGGGGGACTTCCCCGGTGGTTCACTGGGTAGGACTCCAGCCTCCACTGCAGGGGGCCCAGATTCAATCCCTGATCAGAGAGCTATGATTCTCCAAGTCATGCAGTGTGGCCAAAAAAAAACAAAAACAAAAACAAACCTTGTCAGTATCACTTTTGACAAATCAGTTAGGAATTATCAGTTTAAGAGCTGTTAAGATGAATGAGAACTAAGAACTTTTATCTTTATATAAATGGTAAGGAAAGATAATGGTAAGGAAAGATGGTATACCTTACCTATAATGGTAAGGAAAGAGATCCATGATATATTGGTAAGTGAATAAAGCAAGATAGAGAAAATATATATGGCATACTATTATTTACCTACTATCTCTTATGTACAACCATTTTAAGAAAGAGGAATAAATACAAATATATGTTTTGCTTATAATGAAAAAGGGGAGGATGGAGAGACAAGGGAAGGATAAACTGAAAACAGGCCTGTGTAGGGATGGGGATGAGAATAGAAACTAGACCTCTGTGAATGAAACCTGTCTTGCAGATTTGACTTGGAACCACATAAACATTTTATGCAGTTTTAAAAATGGTAAAATATTAAAAAATAAAAATAAAAAAAAAATTGTAAAATATTTACACAATCATTCTGTATATATTTTACATAAATATAAAATTATTAAATATTTTAAAAGTAGGCCCTCAGCAGAAATTAACATTGTAAATTAATTATACTTAAGTAAAATTTGTTTTAGAAAGGAGTCCTGGGACTTGCCTGGCAGTCCAGTAATTAAGATTCCACACTTCCACTACAGAGGCGTGGGTTCGATCCCTAGTCTGGGACCTAAAATATCACATACCACATGGCACAGCCAAATATTTTTTTTAAAAAAAGTAGTCCCTAATAAGTGAAATAAAACAGTGACAAGAAGACAAATGATGTGTGATTCAACTTCCATGAGGTACATAGAGTAGTCAGACTTAGAGACAGAAAGTAGAAGGTTGGTTGCCAGAGCCTGGATGGAAGGGGGCAGGAAGAATTGTGTTTAATGGATACAGAGTTTCAGTTTAGGAAAATAAAAAAATCCTGGAGATAGATGGTGGTGACAGTTGTACAGCAATCTGAATATACTTAATGCCCTGAACCATACAGTTACAATGGTTAAAATTGTACATTTTATAAATTTTTTCTTTTCTTGAAGTATAGTTGCTGTACAATATTGTATAAATTACTGTGATACAAGATAGTGATTCACAATTTTTAAAGGTTATATACTCCATTTATAGTTATTATAAAATACTGGCGGTATCTCCTATGTTGTACAATATATCCTTGTAGCTTATTTTACACTTAATAATTTGAACCTTTTAATCTCCTACACCTACCTCCCCCTCCTGCCTTTCCTGTCCCCACTGGGAGCCACTAGTTGGTGCCTTATATCTGTTAGTCTGCCTCTTCTTTGCTATATGCACTAGTTTGCTGTATTTTTTAAATTCCACATATAAGTGATATCGTATAGGATTTCTCTTTCTCTAGCTGGCTTATTCCACTTAGCATATTGCACTCCAAGTCCATTCATACTGCTGCAAGCGGCAGTATTTTATTCTTTTTAAAGATTGTATTTATTTGTTTTTGGCTGCGCAGGGTCCTCGTTGCTGCACGTGGGCTTTCTCGTAGCCGTGTGCAGGGGCTCCTCTTCCTTGCGGTGCACGGACTAATTGCAGCTGCTTCTCTTGTTGCAGAGCATGGGCTCTAGCGCGCACGAGCTTCAGTCCCTGCAACGCGAGGGCTCAGCTACTCCAGCTCACGGGCCCTCGAGCGCGGGCTCAGTAGCTGTGGCACGGGGGCTTAGCTGCGGTGTGGCATGTGGGGCTCTTCCTGGACCAGGGGCTGAACCTCTGTCCTCCGAATTGGCAGGCAGACTCCTAACCACTGGACCCCCAAGGAAGCCCCATGGTTTTGTTTTTAAGAAAAAACAAGGCCATAGCTTTTAGAGAGACAAACTCAAGCATTTACAAATTAAAATAATAGACTGCCTAGGATTTTCTTTAAAATAATACATTTGGGGAAGGGGTAATCAGCAGTAGGGGCTTCCCTGGTGTCTCAGACAGTAAAGAGCCTGCCTGTAGTGTGGGAAACCTGGGTTTGATCCCTGAGTTGAGAAGATCCCTTTGAGAAGGGAATGGCTACCCACTTCAGTCTTCTTGCCTGGAGAATCCCAACAGAGGACCCTGGTGGGCTGCAGTCCATGGGGTCGCAAAGAGTTGCTCAGATGCAACTAAGCAACTAACACTTTTGACTTTTCAATCAGTAGTAAAGAAAGTGAAGTTGCTCAGTCATGTCTGACTCTTTGCGACCCCATGGACTGTGGCCCACCAGGCTCCTCCATCCATGGAATTTTCTAGGCAACAGTACTGGAGTGGGTTGCCATTTCCTTCTCCAGGGGATCTTCCTACCTAAGGATCAAGCCCGGGTCTCCCACATTGCAGGCAGACACTTTACCGTCTGAGCCAGCAGGGAATACCACCAGGGAATCAATAGTAACACAGATAGAAATAAGATTGGCCATGTGTTGATAACTGCTGAAACTAGGTGATGAGTACACTAAACAATGGGTACACTCTTTCTGTATATGTTTGAACTTTTCCATAATTAAAAAAAAAAAATTGGCCACACCTTGCGGCTGGTGGGATCTTAGTTCCCCAACCAGGGATCAAACCCTTGCCTCCTGCAGTGGAAGCTGAGACCACCAGGGACTCACTGGACCACCAGGGAATTCCTCATAATAAAATGTTTTAAGTATGCCTGCATTCGTTTTCTGTTCATGTGTAGCAAATCACCACAAGTCAGCAGCCCAAAACAGCACACATGTATTACCTCACCATTTCTGTGGGTCAGGAATGGTTTAACTGGGACTTTCTGCTCAGGGTCTCACCAGGCTTCAGTCGGTGCGTCAGCCCAGCTGTGCTCTCATCTGTTAGCACTGGGGAAGAATCTGCCTCCAGCCTCATTCAGGTTGTTGCAGAATTGATTTCCTAAGAACTGCGTGAGGGCTGCAACTTTTTGCTGGCTGCTGGCTGGAGGACACCCTCGGTCCTAAGGCTGACAGCAGTTCTTTATCACCAGGGCATCCTCAGCACACATGCTTGCTTCAAGGCCAGCAGAGGAATCTCTCATTCCAGTCTGCTGAATGTGACATAATATGATAATCACAGGAGTGACATCCGTCACCTTTTCTTCCGTTCACTAAGGGCAAATCACACTGAAGGGAGGGGATGTTACAAAGATGTGACTCAGTGGGGGTCCCCATAGCGTGTGTCCACCACAATGCCTGAAAAAATAATGAAGGATAGATATATCAAATTTAAATACTTTTCTATGGAGAATTCTGCAGTATTCATCACAGCCAAAATCTATTATTAACATGCTCCCTGAAAACCAGTTACCCTGCGAAAATATGCACATGTTAAGCAGTTAACACAACTGACATCAAAGAAATTTCTGTTTAACATTTATAAACTAACCCAATGAGCTTTAAATCTGTATAAAATTTTTATGAAAGTTGTTGACTTTTTAATGCTATAATTAACAAAATGCACACAGGGAAAAAAGTAGTTTTGAGGGAGTTTTAAACATTTATATGTATGTGTGTGTATAAATATATATATGTGTGTGTGTGTGTATATATGTGTGTGTATGTCTGTGTGTGTGTACCAAATGTCATTGAATGGACTGTGAATATATTATCTTAAAATTTAGATGAGTCCCTTAGTTTAAAAAGATTAAACATTTTTAAAAGGAGAGAAAAAGGGAAAAGGAATAAAAAGAAAAATAAAAGATTCACCATTTATCTTAACTTGACTGTGTCTTAATAAAAATTTTTAACCTGTGAGCCATAGAGTCTACCTAACTTTCCTTAACATAAGCCACCAAAACCTTATTTCCAAACAAGGTCACATTCATAGGTATCCAGAATCAGGACTTGAAAGCATGCTCTTAGGGGGACACAGTTCAACTAGCAACTCCCTCTTTTCTAAATCCAACTGGTGAGCTCCTCACAGAATGTCCGTCGTAAGTTGCATGGTCCAGTGACCAAGATGAGAGTTCTGTTTAATGTGATCACTTGCCAAAGAGTAGGGGATTTTAATATCATTTTTATTTAAAAAATAATGCTCAGTAATAAGGTGAGATAATACAAAGGTATATAAAGTGAAATGTAAGTATTTCTTACACTGTCAAACAGACCCTCTTGAGGTGAGCACTCAATAGTTTGGGGTGAACCTTCCAATTTTATATACATATATATATATATATATATATATATGCATATATATATTAAATTCACAAAACCGGGATCATTAATTCAACAGGTAAAGGTTTTATCTCTAGAGCTTCTTGATCTAAATGCTAATTTTACTTCTAGTTGTGTCATTCAGTCACTAAGTCACATCCAGCTCTTTGCAACCCCAGGGACTGCAGCACACCAGGCTTCCCTGTCCTTCACTGTCTCCCAGAGTTTGCTCAAACTCATGTCCATTGAGTTGATGACTGTGTAACACTGGGCAACATACTTACTTCTGTCAGTCTGGGTTTTCTTACTTAGAAAATAAAAGATGATAAGATTACTACTTTATATAAAGGTTTGGGAATTAAATGAGCTAATAAATGAAGTGAAGTGCTTGAAACAGTACCTGACACACACAAAGTGCTTGATAAGTTATTATTTAATACTCGACTACAGCTGCAGCTTGTTTTTTAAATATACTATATCTTAAAGATCCACTTTTTAACTTAAATACAGTTGATTTACAATGTTATGTTAGTTTCAGGTGTACAACACAGTGATTCAGTCATACACATGTATTCTCTTTCAGATTCTTGTCCCTTATAAGTTACTACAAAGTATTGGGTACTTTGAGTATAGTGAAATATTGCTGACTATAGTTCCCTGTGCTGTATACTAGGTCTTTGTTGGTTATCTATTTTTATATATAGTAGTGTGTATATGTTAATCCCAAACTCCTAATTTATCCCCGCCCCTACATCCCCATTTAGTAATCATAAATTTGTTTTCTATTTCTATTTTGTAAATATGTTCATTTGTATCTTTTTTCTTAGACTCCACATTTAAGTGATATCATATGGTATTTGTCTTTGGTTACTTCACTTAATGTGATAATCTCTAGGTTTATGCATGTTGCTGCAAATGGCATTATTTCATTTTTTTATGGCTGAGTAATATTCAATTATATCATATATATATAAATATGCATCATATCTTTATCCATTCATCCATTGATGGCCATTTGGGTTGCTTCCATGTCTTGGCTATTATAAATAATGCTGCAGTGAATATTGGGTGCAGGTATCTCTTTAAATTACAGTTTATCCAGATATAGATATATATTTTTTATACTTGATATAGATATGTTTTTAATATGGATAGAGTGGATGACAAAAATAGAAACAGCAAACAGAGCAATGAATAGGAAGCAGTAACAAGTATGGTAGCTATTAATCCAGATATGTCAATAATCACTTTAAAAGTTAATGGTGTAAATACAATTAAAAGACAGAGATTGTCAAACTCAATCAACAAACTGTCATGAGAAAGAGAAGACAAGCCCCATTCTGAAAGAAAATATTTGCAAAAGGCAAATCTGTTAAAGGACTGTAATCCAAAATATACAAAGAACTCTTAAAACTCAACAAAAAGAAAATAAACAGTCCAGTTTTAAAAGTGGACCCAGAGGGATGGGATGGGGAGGGAGGTGGGAGGGGGGTTCAGGATGGGGAAACGCATGCATACCCGTGGCTGATTCATGGCAATGTATGGCAAAACCACTACAATATTGTAAAGTAATTAGCCTCCAATTAAAATGAATAAATTTATTTAAAAAATAAAAATAAAAAAATAGAAGTGGGCCAAATATTTGAATAGATGTTTCACCAAAGAAGACATGCAGATGACAAATAAGCATATGAAAAGGCCTGATATCATATGTATTAGGGAATTGCAAATTATAGCAACAATGAAATACCCCTAACTTACCTATTAGAATGGCTAAAAATCAAAACACTGACAATACCAGATGCTAGCAATGTGGAGCGGGAGGAACTCTTATTTACTGCTGGTGGGAATGCAAAATGGTACAGTCACTTTGGTAGACAATTTGGCACTTTCTTATACAACTAACATCCTCTTACCTTATGACCCAGCAATTGTGTTTCTCAGTATTTACCCAAAGGAGTTAAAAATCATATCTACACAAGAACCTGTCTATGGATATTACAGAAGTGTTATTCATAATTGCAGAAACATGGCAGCAATCAAGATGTCTTTCCGTAGGTGAATGGATAAACTACAGTATATTCAAACAATGGATATATATAAAAGAAATGAGCTATTAAACCATGAAAAGACATGAAGGAACCTTAAATACATGTTACTAAGTGAAGGAAGCCAATCTGAAAAGGCTCCATACTGTATGACTCTATATGGTATTCTAGAGAAAGCAAAACTATGGCGGCAGTAAAAAAAAAAACACCAGCTGTTGCTAGGCTTAGGGAGAAGGGAAGCATGGATAGGTGGAGCACAGAGGATTTTAAGGGCCATTATGAGACTGTTCTGTATGATTCTGTAGTGACAAATACATGTCATTAGACATTTGTCCAAATCCACCGAATGTAGACTATTAACAGTGAATCCTAAGGTAAACTATGGGCTTTGGATGATAATGATTGCATCACTGTAGGGTCATCCGTTGTGATAAATGGACCACTCAGGCGCAGGATGTTGATGGTGAGGGAGGCTGTGGGGGGGATGGGGGGGTGAGGAATATTCAGGAACTCTGTAATTTCCACTCAGTTTTACCGTCAACCTAAAAAGTGAAGTGAAAGTTGCTCAGCCACATCCGACTCTTTGTGACCCTATGGACTGTAGCCTGCCAGGCTCCTCTGTCCATGGAATTCTCCAAGTCAGAATACTGGAGTGGGTAGCCAGTCCCTTCTGCAGGGAATCTTCCCAACCCAAGGACTGAACCCAGGTCTCCCGCATTGCAGGCAAATTCTCTATAGCCTGAGACACCAGGGAAGCCTAAACTGCTCTTTTAAAAAGTCTGTACAAATAAGTAATATAAATTTAAAAAACACTTCTGAACATTGCTGATTGAATACATTGATATATTCCCTCTCTCACCATTCCCCCCTTTTATTCCTGCAAGTTTAAGGTAGGACAATTTGAGGCTCAATTGATTCTGAAAAACCAGTGAGATGTCCCTCTGACACCTTTGCTCTGATTTGTACAATGTATTACAATAGATTTCACTTGTTTCTCTATAGATGAAATACAATACAAATCAAGTTGACAGCTCGATATCCACACTGAAGAGTCAAGTAACTGATGTAAAAAATGTTATGACCCAAAATATCGATAAAATTTTGGAAAGAGAAGACAGATTGAATATCTTCACTGATAGAACAGATGATCCGCAAACAACTGTGAGTGTTCCACAGCTGTCTTGATACCCAAACAGTGCTCTCAGCCATATGATCCCTGCTCCTGAGACAAAGTGCCCAAAGCAAAAACATACTGGGACACTTGGTGAGATGATGCTATATCACCAGACTATCTCTTTATCAAAGATTATTGCAGTGCAACTAAAATAATAAAAGAATAATTCTAAAACAACCCAAATTTTCAAGCCTATTAAAGGAGAAGTTGGCTATTCATGTAACAGAAGGATTTCCAACATTAAGAAACACACAGGTTAGTCAACAAATAAATTCCAAGAGGAAAAGGAGAGGGAAACTTAACAAAAAAAGGACTTAGAAGAGATATCAGTTGCAATTATTGGATTTTGATTCAAATAAACTGTAAAAATGAACATTTACAGTTTTGTGAAACAGATATTTGAACTCTGGCTGGATATTGATGAGATTAAGAAATATTACTAATTTTTAAGTGTGATAATGGCATTGTGGGTATGTTTTTGAAGAGTCATTACTTATCAGAGATATATACTAAAATATATACAAATGAAATTATGTAACATCTGAGATTTGCTTCCAAATAGTTCAGGAGGGGGGAGTAGAATGGGGTATAAATTAAACAAAAATTGGCCATAAATTAACAATGGTTGAATCTGGATGTTGATTATATAGGGATTCATTATACCATCCTGTCAACTTGTGTTATATGTCTGAAACTGTCTGTTAGAGAATAGTTTTAAAACAATCACTAAGGTTTGAAGAGTCCTCTCTGAACATTTTTTTTTTCTGGGCCACGCTTCACGGCTTGTGGGATCTTAGTTTCCCAACCAGGGGTCAAACCTGTGCCCCCTACAATGAAGCACAGAGTCCTAACCATTAGACCGCCACAGAATTCCCTGTGGTGAGCATTTTAAATTTTATTTTTACAGATCTTTTCTAGAAACACAGACACCATATAAAGCAAAGTATATACATACTTTTTACTCACCAAGTTCCGTTGGTTCAACCTCCTAAATCTTTTTTATTATAAGCCTCATTCTTTTCACCTTTCAAAACAATATACAAGATATTATTCACATATAATATTCGTGCACTCTAAGTGTGGAGTGTGATGACCTGCTGATAATTGTGAACAATTGTGTGACCACAGTCAAGTTGTAGACTAGCTCTTCCATCCTCAAATCTGCCCTCCTCTGTAGTTGACTCTCCCCCACCCCTGACCCCAACCAACCACTCCTCTGCTTTCTGTCACGATAGTGTTGTCTTTTCTGGAATGTCTTATAAATACAGTCATACAGAGTATAGGATTTTTTTTTTTTTTAGTGTATAGTATTTTGTGTCTGACTTCTTTTACTTAGTGTTTTTGATATTCATGTTGTTGCATGTTAATGTTTTCTTCCTTATCGTTGCTGTATAGTGTCCCACAGAATGGCTAAACCTCTTTTACACCCACCCTCTGCCCATTCCAGTGCTGTTCACTGTCTCACTCGGAGGTCAGTTACCTCTTGTCTGACTATGGTAACTCCCAGATTTAATTGTTCTCCCTATTTTTGGTTCTGCTCTGCTCCATTCATCCTCCACAGTGACACTAGAGTATTCTTTTAAAATGCAAATAGTGAGCATTACTTCTAGCCTTCTTTGTAAATTATTTATTTTGGGCTGTGATGGGTCTTAGTTGCAGCATGCAGGATCTTTTATTGCAGCATGGGGGGGGTCTCTCTAGTTGAGCCCCATGGGCTCAGTTGTCCTACAGCCTGTGGGGTCTTAGCTCCCCAACCAGGGATCAAACCCATGACCCCTGCATTAGAAGGTGGATTCTTAACGACTGGACCAGCAGGGAAGTCCCTACTTACAGCCTTCATAAAACCCTCCAGAAGTGCACCTTTGTCCAAGCGAGGTAGAGTTCACCTCCCTAACTTAATGAGCTTTCTTCTGACTATATTGCCAGTCACATCACCCAGGGGTCATAGTCTATATAAATCTATATAAATATAAACCTATGAATGTACATATATAAATCTATATATATATGAATTTATATAGTTTATAAATCTCAAAAATTATCAGACTACTTCTAGTTCTCCCAAATACATGTTGCATTATTTCACACCTATATGCATACTGTTCCTTTTTCCTTGCTTTGGAAAACTTCTACTCATCCATCAAAACCCAACTCAAGAATCATCTCCTCATCCATTTCCTAGGCTGAGTCTATCCCTCTTTCATCTGTGCAGTCCCTGCACCTTTTATTTATTGATTAATTCGACAAGTATCTCTTGAAGACCTACTGTCTTACCAAACTCTATGTTAGGCACTAAGAATAATAAGAATAAGTATGAAGGCCATAACCCCAGCAAACAAGCACTCGATGATAGTTACATTAAATATTACTTACTTAAAGCAACCCTCTACATTTTTTTTTTAGTGTTATACCTACATGTTAAGGAAATTCAAGGATTTCCTGGGGCCACTAGAAGCTGGAAGAGAAGGACCATCCCTTAAAATGTTGGCACTTTACAGACTTGTGTTCTCCAGGACTCTGAGACAGTACGTGTCCTATTGTTCGAAGCCACCCAGTTAGTAGAGCTTTGCTACAGCCACCCTAGTAAACAAGGGCAGTTTGTTGACAGGAACTTGTATGTGCACATTCAGTTGCTAAGTCATGTCTGACTCTTTGCGACCCTACGGACTGTAGCCCACCAGGCTCCTCTGTCCATGGGATTTTCCAAGCAAGAATACTGGAGTGGGTTCCCATTTCCTTCTCCAGGGGCAACCCTCATTATTTTTATAGCAGTAAAAAGATGAGGTCACATCAGTTTATATAATCTACAAAGAAGAATTAATAAAGAAAATCACTATCTAGGATTCAGTTGTACGTTATGAGAATTTTAAAAGAGTTCAGATAAAACTGTTCAAGCCATTTAGATTCATTCATTAATAAACATTCTTTGGGGGCCTGTTATGTAGAGGGTATTATGCTTGTTGTCTTCAGGGATTAAAAAAATGAATAAGATACTTTTCAAAGTTTAAGCTATTGCAGGAGACATATTAGTATAAACCTAACTGCAATATAAGTATATGTTAAGTTCATAAAAGATGGATAAAGCCTAACAGCCAAAGAATGGATAACTGAGAGTGTCTACATTTTTACAATGCATTTTGAAATCACAATCATTAAATTCTATAATAAGTATCATATCATTCAACATTTATTTCAAGTATGTGAAAGATTTCCGTGAATAATATATCTAATACCCTTGTAATCATCAGCCAGCCTTATATGGCCTTCGCATTTTGCCATATTGGATATGGGCCTTTGGTTTTCAAAGAAATAAAATTATGAATGTAATTAAAGTCACCTCTGAATCTTTCCCAAGCTCATTCCACTCCCTCACTAAAAGAAACACTATTATGAATTCGATATGAATCATTTGTATGAATGTTTTGATTCCTTTGCTATAATATGTATCTATAGTTGGTTTGCATTTTTAAACTTTGTCATGTATGACATTCTAATGAGCCTATCCTTCTGCAATCTGTTTTCAGTTCAACATTATTCTTTTTTGAAATGTATTCATTTTGATACACTTAACTCTAACTTATCAATTTAGCTTCTGACAGCATCTCATTACTATTTTAAGAAATACAGTGTTCTTGTCCTTTCCCCTTTTATCAATATTAATGTAGGTTCCAACTTCTTTATTATGGAACAACACTGCATTGAATACCTTTGTACATGTCTTTTGGTACACACTTGCAAAATGTTTCTAAGACAGCAGTCTACAGAATTTTTTGATCATTCGCATTTATTTATAAAGTATTGTTGAGAATGCATTTAAATATATACAAATTATATGTATTATCTTATAATTTATATAAAACATATACAGAAAAGTAGAAATTTAAAGAATGAGACAAAGATGAAATAAAATTAAATGGTTTGTTTTCTTAAGAAAATAAAACTCTGATTAAGAAAAATTTTAATAATGTATTTTAATTATAGCAATGTGATTAAAAGTCAGATCTGATTACAAATGACTTTAAAGTCTCTAAATATGGAAGGTAGAGTATTCAAACTAGAAGCAGAGATATATCCTCTTTGTCATTTTCTTGTTTAGGTTTGTCTTATTAGTATCAATATAATTAAGCCACATCTATTCTTTAGCTTAGTTAAACCTAAATAATATTACCCATACATTCACTTACCCAGATGTATGTATATCGTAGCTGTTGCAATACACTATAAGAGAATGGATAAAGGAGTATGCAGTGGCCAACTCTTCATCACTGTGGAATTTCCACTCTACCCTCAAAACACCTTAACTTTCATGATTTAAGTATTTTACACCATACCTAGGGAAGATGTCAGTGGCTATCCATATGTTAAAATTTAAATATTTTCATTTCCTTCTTGTTTTTTAGATTGAAACAAATAGAAGTTCTAATATTATTTTCCTGCTTTCCAATTGGTCATCTGAACCCCTTGGGATGCTTGATCCTATTTTAAACCATCAGTCTAGAATGCTGCTGCTGCTGCTAAGTCACTTCAGTCGTATCCGACTCTGTGCGAACCCATAGACGGCAGCCCACCAGGCTCCCCTGTCCATGGGATTTTCCAGGCAAGAGTACTGGAGTGGGTTGCCATTGCCTTCTCCGATCAGTCTAGAATATATATATAGAAATTGAATTTCTGGATCTTAAAATATATGCACCCTTAAATTAAGCAAATAATTTAAAATTGCTTTCCAAAGGTTGTGCCAATTTATACTTCCATCAGTACTGTATGAAAAGTTCTGTATCTTTCCAATACTTGGGATTATGAGATTATAATTTTTAACAATCAGGGGAAAGAAAATATTGTCTAAATTTGCATTTTGGATGACAATGAGCAACTTTTATGTTTATTTGCCATTAGAATTTCTTCAGTAAATTGTTTGTTGATATCCTTTGGCCATCTTGCTAATTGGTTGCTTATCTTTTTAATAATTTGTAATATATATTAATATACAAAACAATGATTTTACAACTATTAGAATAAAGAATGAATATATAATTCTTCATCCTAATACTTAGGCAGTTGTATAAAGTTTATTTTATTTTTTTTAATTTATTCATTTTAATTGGAGGCTAATTACTTTATAATATTGTAGTGGTTTTTGCCATACATTGACATGAATCAGCCATGGGTGTACATCTGTTCCCCATCCTGAGCCCCCATACCACCTCCCTCTCCATAAAGTTTAAATATGTTCTCCCAATATGTGGCTTGATTTTAGCTTTGTGTATAGTATCTTTTTTAGGACAGAAGTCTTTTTTTTTTACTGTTTTTTTTAATTGAAGTATAGTTGATTTACAGTGTTGTGCTAATCTCTGTTGTACAGCAAAGTGATTCAGTTAATACATATATACATGCATATCCTTTTTTATATTCTTTTCCATTGTGGTTTATCATAGGATATAGAATATGATTCTCTGTGCTATACAGTAGGACCTTGTTATTTATCTATCCTATATGTAAAAACTTACATCTGCTAACCACAACCTCCATTCCAACCTTCCCCCAACCACCTCCTCCGCATTGGCAACCACCAGTCTGTTCTCTGTATCTGTGGTTCTGTTTCTATTTCATAGATAGGTTCATCTGTGTCATATTTTAGATTCCACATATGAGTGGTCTCATAGGGTATTTGTCTTTCTCTTTCTGACTTACGAAGTATGATAATCTCTAGTTGCATCCATGTTGCTACAAATGGGATTATTCCATTCTTTTTAACGACTGAGTAGTATTCCATTGTATATATGTAACACATCTCTTTATCCATTTATCAGGACAGAAGTCTTTAACTTCCATGTTGGCAAATGTATCTGTCTTGCCCTTTGTGATTTATGCTTTCTGTGTCTTATTTAGGGCTTCCCAAGTGACTTTGCCCAGGTTACAAAGATATTCTTACATTATCTCTCCAAAAATTTTAATTCTGCTTCTTAAACATGGATCATTAAAACAGGTGGCATTTTATTTTTGCATGAAGTATGAGGTAGGAGGGCTTCTCAGGTGGCTCAGTGGGTAAAGAATCTGCCTGCAATGAAGGAGATGCAGGAGATGCGGCTTCAATCCCTGGGTCAGGAAGATTCCCTGGAGGAGGGTATGGCAACCCACTCCAGTGTTCTTGCCTGGAGGATCCTATGGACAGAGGAGCCTGGAGGGAGGGCTACAGTCCATGGGGTGGCAAAGAGTAGGACATGGCTACAACAACTGAGCACACATGAGGTGGGAATAAAATTTCAGTATTTTCTATATAAAGACTGTTGCCCAACAACCATTTGCTGAATAGCTCAAACTTCCCCATTTGCTTTGTAATGCCAACCTTGCCACATATAATGTTTTTATATGTAAACAACTTTCATTCTTTTGATTTGTATACATTATATTCTACTGGTCTATTTCTATATCCTTGGGCCAGTATTACACCATTTTAGTTATCATGGCTTTATGAGAAGCCTTAATATCTTATAGGGCAAGTTCATCTACTTTCTGCTTTTCAGAAATTACATTGGTTAGGCTTCTTTCTCTTTCAGAGAATTGTAGAATCTACATCTCAAGTTATACACACACAAAAGAAATGTTGGGATATTAGTTGGAATGACATTAGTATGGGAAGAATTAATACCTTTATTTTTTTTTCCTTAATTTCAGAGTTTTATTGTATTGCACTAAAGGAACAGCAAGATGGTTATACAATGTTCTCTCTCATTTGGTTTTGAAAATCTAAAGTACTTGCAAATTCTTAAGAATACCTTTACCACCAGATTAGAACATTTAGTAACCAATTTCTTAATAAGTAAAGTCTCACAACTTAGAACACATTTAAAATAGCTTTAAATGCATTCTTCACAAGTAAGTCAGCATATATTTTTGTATCATGTTCACTTATGCTTAAGAATTAAAGCAAGTATATTACTCTGGTGGAAATATGGGGAAATCTCTCATTCATGCAATATACAGGGGTAGTATTTCAAGTCCAAGGGGAAAAAAATCCCACTCTTAGTTTTTTAATGCATCCATATATAATCACCTACATGGTAGATAAGGAAACCCATGAAGTTTCCCACAGGTCAGATACATATTCCCAGTTCATCAGAAGCACCTGATATCTACAGCTAATTTATAATTAAATGGCATTTCAATAAAACCAAAATGAGCCCTACAAGTTCCTATAAAGGAAAGCTTCCAGTGGACTAAGGACGGTCAGTAATCAATGCAGCCATTCGAGGGGTCACGGCTCTTCCTCAAGGAGTGCAAGTTCAAACCTGTCGACACCAGAGGTATCATTTTATATTAGCTTATGCGTGATTCCATTTACAGTCTTTCCACAAACAAAAAATGTGGAAACATTTAAAAAATAAGGAGTCATTTTTAAAGTAACTGATCAGATTCCATAGGCTACTCTTGGAAACAGGATCTCGCTGGATAGAATCCCTTCGTTGGTGGCTTTTTGCATGCGCTTAACTGGACCAGTTCTTCTAAGCGTTGTTCTAAGAGCTCACCA